AAAGAGTGTGTGGAGGAGAGTAGGCATTAGCCAACTTCTGTTAATTAAGTAACAGCAAGAATTAGAGAAGACAGGAGATGTTTTCCACTGAGTTGATTGGAAATGGATTTGATCGTTCAGCTACCATGGCTGCAAAATTTTCATCTCTTGAGAAATGTCTGCTCGGGAACGGTTTAAATCCCTGCTGGGGCATAGGAAAGGATTAGTCCCTGTTCTCTCCAGGTTTTCACCCATTTGGTTTCTCCTCCACAGATTTAAAATATAGGTCCTCCATCCAGTAGTGCACAATGATTAATTAATATAACAGAAGCAGGGCAGTGAAAAACAACCGCTTAAAAATGTTACCTCGACTTTTCTTTTCAAATTTCAGCCTTTCCGTTCCAGATCTGACACCCAATATCGGCCTTTTCTGGTACTTCTTTGCGGAGATGTTTGAACACTTTAGTCTTTTCTTCGTATGTGTGTTTCAAATCAATGTGTTCTTCTACACCATTCCCTTGGCAATAAAGCTAAAGTAAGTATGTTTCTCTGCTAGTTTTTTTTACTCTTAGTTGTCTGGTGGAAGCTTATAAGGCTGGTGTCAGATGTCTGGATCTACAAGCCTGAAAAAGATGGTTCTTTTAACAGGGCCTATCCTCCTCATTTCCCAAAGCTTCAATTTTTATTCCTCTTAAACAGAGTGAGTTGGGCTCTGCTATGCAACAGATGTGTTATAGGCATCAAAAAAGGGAGCAGAAATTTAGGCTATAGAGGTGCCTGCTCCCTGCCAGCATAAGCCAGTGTAGTCAGAAAGCAAGAACTCTTGGCTGGAACTTCAAGTTCTTTATTGTCAGAAAAAAAGTGAAAACTTGGGGACATTCTTAGCAGACTGCGCTGACAATATTGCCCTTCTTTCTGATAAAAACACCCATTAACACGCCTGGATTCTCAGTGACCTGATCCTGTTGACTTGGAATGGATACAGACATCATGATGGACCAGAGGGACAACTCTGGGCTTCTCCAAATAACCTTCAGAGGGGAGGTGCTGATTGCTTTTCGGTGAATAAGACAAAGCTGGGGAAGAGCAGCCCAGATGAGCAGCTGTATAAAAGTGTGCTGAGTTGAGGCATGCAGTTTCTGTGTGAGGGCAGTGAGCAGATGTGCATTCCCTTATAATGCTCCTCTGCAGAGCAGCTCGGTCTGCCCCACCCAGCACTCGGAGGCTTGTTTGGAGAGAACAGCCTCTCTGAGCCTATCCCACAGTACCTTTGTGCCCTTGTTGATATTTATTTCCAGTTTCCAGAGACTCTACTGCATCCTCTTATCCTGTGTGTCTTATTCCTTCTAGGGAACACCCTATGTTCTTCATGTTTGTCCAGATCGCGATCATTTCTATCTTCAAGTCCTATCCCACTGTGGGAGACATTGCACTGTACATGGCCTTCCTTCCAGTCTGGAGCCACCTTTACAGATGTAAGTTCTTTGTGTTTGATTGTTCCTTGTCTGGAATGGGAAAGGCCCTCTCCAATAATTGTCACTACTAAACCAAACCAGGCCCCTGTCCGCAGGCTCTTGTGGCCTCCTTGGGGTGTCTGGAAGGAGGCTTGATTTTTCTGGTGATACAGAAAACGTGTCTTTAGGACTAGGGCTGAAATTGGTCGAGGAGGGAATTTTCACTTGTACCTTATCTTCCCCCTCTCTCCAAGTTGTTCTGAAGATTAACTTTTTTGTAAGAACCTTTTACAGTCCTGCACAAGGGATGTGGCTTACTTAAAGTACACCCATCCTTCAAATGCTTCCGCTCCCATTTAAGGCTGTGTAATTTGAACACTGCTCCTGCAATTGGTGAGTCCCCCAGCCTTAAAATCCTGCACCTTGCAGTGGTTCTTTGTTTTGCAGCTGCTTGTTTGCTTAGAGTGAAAGTAACTGAATTACTCCAAGCAATTGCCCAGTTTTTCTTAAATGCTTCATGAAGAACCTCTTTAGCTCTTTAAATCACCAGAGAGCTTCCTGATGATTTTGAAACTCAGTCTCTAGAACCTGCTACACTGGGGAGATTTGGAAGCGCTGTGTTGTTCCTGGTGTTTCTTACTTTGACCAACCCTGCCAGGTTGTCCGGGCCTCTTACTGCAGCCTTCTCTAACCCAGGCCAAGTGTGTTTATGGACAGGTAGCCTGCCTGCTGTCAGGAGGCGTAATCAGGAGCCAAGAGACTTGGAGACCATCTGCTCTATTAGTTTCAGACTCAGGAAAGCTAAGGCCAAAGCAGCTGTGATAAAACAGGGCAGGAAGACCCAGACTAGCCCTGAGCACGTCGCAGCCATAGCAGGTGAGGCACTTCTGAGAAGTCCTGATTCAGCGTAGTCCAGCTGCACATTCCAAGCATGCAGATAAGGGGATTATGGCCAGTGAGAGGGACAGTCTGTCACGTGCTCCCACCCCACAGTGAGTGAATAGACCTACTGAACAAGAAGTTTAAAAAGATAGGTGTGAAGAGGTTTGGGTGCAGCAATGCTCTTAGAATGTCAGATAGCTCCTTCAGCTGCAGAAGGATCAGGAGTGTTTCAGTTACCTTCAGGGACACTGGCTGAGCTATAGCCAAGCACAGCAACACAAGTGCCGGGATGAATTATAATACTGCTGCCAAAGGCAGCAGGCATAAATAGTTCACAGAAACCAAAAATCTCTTCTGGCCTAGTAGTTCCTAGCTCTTCTAGACAAAGTTGTGCTTGGTTTTTGTCCATCTGACACGTACTCACACAGACTAATGGATTCTGGCCACACTTGCACCTCCCAGGGTCGTGTGTTTGTCAACGCATTTGGCCTATATGAGTTTCCTCCTTTTATGGCACTTTCATTTCCTTACTACCTCCCAAGAAAGCATCTCTTTTCCTACGGCCCACGGGTTCATTTTTTTCCTTTGTCATGAGCTTGACGAGGCATGGGAATGGCATGCTTTGCTCTCTGAATTGTGATGCTGGTGGAAAGGCCCTTCTCAAAACTGCTGGTTTCTGTAGCGTAGACACCAAAAAGCCAAAGTCCTCCAAGGAAGAGTGTTTGGAAGCAGGACCTAGAAGGAAAGAGCTACAAATGAGGATTTCACACTCAAGCAAAGGCAGAAGTATTTATTTTCAAGGGAAATATAGTGGATTTCTTATAAAAGCTAGCCAGGAAATTATTAAAGCAAACTGTGAAAGATTATTGGAGAGAAGTCTGTGTTCGCGAGTGCCTCTCCCCCACTGCATATACCCTAAATACCATTGCTGGTTGCGTGAGCATGGCTCCTCAATAGTGCATTGTTTTAACAGCTTGGTTTTCTTTTGCAGTCCTCCGGAACATCTTCATCCTGTCATGTGTGCTCATTGTCTGCTCCCTCCTGTTCCCCGTTCTGTGGCATCTATGGATTTATGCAGGAAGTGCCAACTCCAATTTTTATTATGCCATCACGTTGACTTTCAACATAGGGCAGGTTAGTAGAGCGAGGCGAACAAGGCTGCGCTTTGGGTACATCACTGGGTCGGGTGTCCTGTCAGCAGCAGTGAATTCTGCAGGATATGTCTGGCCCTTTGCATCCTGCGTAGTCCCGCATTGCAGCTTCCTGCCTCTCCTTGCTCCAGCTGAAGTCTGCCTAGTCCTCACCTTCTGGCATCCTAGTGGGAAGGGGCTCTTGTAGTATTTGAGCTATAGCTTACCAATCCAGCTAGACTGGACTGCAGGGTACGTGGTCTGTTGCTTGGTAGCAGAGGAAAAGCATCCTGGTATGGCAGGACTAAGGGCACACGTGAATGGGGAAGGTGAGCTAAGAGGGGAACTGGAAAAAACCATGGGGCAGACAATAGGCAAATGAGAAATGCCCATACACAGGGACGTGGCGCCAGTTTTTCTGAGCGTTGTACCTCACTGAAACCTAGCGCTGTGGGCACGTGCAGGGTCCCAGTCGTGCCAGGGCTTGCCCTCCCTGCTTCTCTCAAGGCCGTTCTAGACACACGACTTTCACTAGCCTTAGGGAAAGCAGAGCTGGAGCATGGGATTCAATGTACGCAGTTGCTACAACCTTTTCTGAGTCCTTCCTCTTGTCTGTGCTATTTCTTACATCCCTAAGACCTGGGACAGTTTCACACGTGGGTGAGCAGAATGTTCATTTCATGTTAAAGTTGCCTTTATTTTGAATGTGCCTCAGCCATTTAGGTTTGTCTGCTGCTCCTAAAACTAGAGGAGCAGTTTTGCCAGGGGCTGAAAATCACCTGCTTGTACATCCCCCCACCCCTTAATAAATGGGGACAAACACCCATTCCGTAACTGCAAAAAGAGACTCCATGCAGTGAGTGGGTGAGAGGGAGTACAGAGATAGTGCTGAGGAGGGCTTATAGGAAATGGGGAGTAGTTCATTAGCTTTCTAACTACGTGTCCTGCTATGGAATGAAAGGAATAGGAAAACTTTAATTAGACATGGCAGGTGTTGATATTCTAAGAGGATTTTATTTCCTGCCTGAGAAAGGCCTGGCAGATCCTGCAAGGTCTTGTGCTCTGTGTAAATGCAGACAGAGCAAAACTCTGCCTTCTGATTTCCTTGTGAGAAAGAACTAGCCCTCACCCCCACTAACCTCAGCTCTTTCTTTTCCCATTAAGACATCTGCAGAGAAGTTTGGTTAAAAGTAAAATCAACTGTATTGATATAGTGTGTCGGTAGTCCGCCATGGTGTTCAGCAGAACAAGCGGAGAGACTAAGCATGACTGTTCACTCTCCCTGGGCACATCTACCCTTCTCTGTCTCTTCTCCTTGGCACTTTCTCCTCTGACCTCAGCAGTCTGCAGCCCTGTTTCTGTTTCCCTCAGTCTCCACCCAGTCCTCCATATCCTCCCGTCCTGCCCCTGCGCCTTCTCCGCAGCAGCTGTATTTAACAGGAGCCCAGGCAGGCGCTGGCTGCCAGCCCGACTCTCCCTCCCTCCGTCCCCTTAGCACTGCAGCGCACCTCAGGTGAGGCTCTCCCTGGAGTCAATTCCCCAGGGAAGCGGACGAACGCATTGTGCCAAAGCGATGCATTAAGTGCCATCTGGGCATTAGGACAATACTCGCTTGGTCTGCCGCTGAAAAGGTTTTCCACTCTAGTTACGTGATGCTGTTTCCAGGTGATCGG